AAAATGCAATCGCCATCAGCAACGGCATCCCTGCGCTGGGTGTGGCTGATGGCGTCTACATGTGGAAGGACAAGGGCATTGATGCTGGGATGTTCAGGTGGGGCTGGCTTACATTTGTGTGTTGCGTGTGTGGTGGGCACGTCTGTGTGGCAGGCGTGGCCGCAGCCCTGCCGCCGGGCTGGCGACCGCCCAGCGGGGGTTGCGATGCTGGTGGGGGAAGCCGGGTGTGTGTTGGCTTCACCCACCAGCATCGCTACCCCCGCTGGGCGGTCGCCAGCCCGGCGGCAGGGCTGCGGCCACGCCTGCCACACAGACGTGCCCACCACACACGCAACACACAAATGTAAGCCAGCCCCACCTGAACATCCCCGCATCAATGCCCTTGTCCTTCCACATGTAGACGCCATCAGCCACACCCAGCGCAGTGATGCCGTTGCTGCAGGCAGGCGGGCAAAGGCAGGCAGGCGGGCAGGCAGGCGAGCAGGGCAAGCTGGGCGGGGCGAGGTGGGCAGGCAGACAGGCAGCGGAGCGAGCGCGGCAGGCGCACAGGCAGGCGCACGGGCAGCCCCGCGCGCGGCAGCCGCAGGCGCGCCGCCGCGTGCCCGGCATGCCCCGCGCCGCGCTTCCCCACTGCCTCCGTGTCATTCCTCCTTACTTTTCCTCCTTTCCTCCTGCCCTCCCCCTCCCCTGCCTCACCGGTTGGAACAGTAGAAGTAGGCATCCTCCCCGCCGTAGCCGTACCCCTTGCGGTTCAGCCCCTTGTGCCCCTCGGCAGCCTTCTCGGGGTGGGGGATGGCCATTGCGGAGGCCTGTGGGGTGGGGGGTGGGGAGCAGGGGGGAGCAACAGGAGGCAGGGTGAGCGAGATGCGGCGGCGGCGGCGGCGGCAAAGGGTTTTGGGATGCGGCTGGGGCAGGGAGGCAGTGTGCGGGGCGAGCTGCTGGTGCGCCCTCTCTGGCCACCCGGCCCTCTCTAGGCGCAGCACAGCCGCTGGCCGCACACGCCAGCAGGCGTGCCGCCGCCCAGATCCCCAGCCTGATCCGCCTCAGGCTCAACCCCAACACAGCCCAGCCCAGCGCAGCGCAACGCAACGCAGCCCGGCACAGCACAGCAGGCTCAGCACAGCGCAGCGCATCACAGCCCATCACATCACAGCGCAGCGCAGCACAGCAGGCGCAGCGTGGCGCAGCGCAGCGTGCTCGCCTCCAGGTGCAGCGGCGCTCCCAGCAGGTTGTAGGCGGGCTCCCTCATGCTGTGCGCGCTGTGGCGCATGATGGACGGAGCCAGGTTGCGCTCGTGGTCACCTGGGCGGCGCAGGGGCATGTGAGTGCGAGAGAGTCCGTGTGAGGACCAGGGGCGCGGTGGCGAGGCCGGCGGGCAGCGGCCGTGGGGCGGGCTGGGGGCGCAAAGCGCGAGCCGCGCCCGCCGCCCGCTGCAGGCTCGGCTGCCGCCCCGCCAGGGCTGCCGGCCAGGCATCCATCCAGCCAGGATGGAGGAGCGCAGCCACTGCAAGCGGGCCCAGGCAGGGGCGCCGCCCCCAGCAGCCAGCAGCGCACAAACCCCAGCCAGCAGCAGCACCACCCCCCACCAGCAGCACCACCCACAGCCGGCCAGGCAGGCAGGCAGCCAGGCAGGCAGGCGGGCAAGCGGGCGCGCACCGTCCAGGCCAGCCGGGTGGTTGCTGCGCCCCAGCCACGCGGAGCAAGGGAAGGACCAGTGCTGGCCCTCGGGCCCCGACACCTCGATCCTGTCCAGGAACCAGCCAACCCCCGCGCCGTCGCTGGCCGACGGCAGCTGCTGCACGTGCACCTGCAGGCGGCGGCGCGCGGGCGGCGGCGGCGGCGGGGTGTCGGTAGGGGCGGAGGGAGCGCAGGGGGCGCGGGGGCGTAGCAGCGGGGCGACGGCAGCGCCGCACCCTGCGCCAGCAGTTGCAGCGGCACGACAGCCGCACCCGGGGGGGGCAGGAAAGCAACACGGCAACGCCACCGGCACCCGGCGCAGCTCCGGGCAGCAGCAGCAGCAGCAGCGGCGGCAGGCAGCAGCAGGCAGCAGCAGCCCCCGCGCACTACCAGCAGTACGGGCCGCGCCCCCGCCCGAGCAGCGGCGGCAGTACCAGCAGTACCGGCAGCGCCAGCTCCGCGCCCCACCCGCTGCAGCTGGCCCAGGTGCCGCGACTGGAAGGTGTAGCTCTTCTTGGTGGCCCGCTCAAACCCCCGGTCGTCTCCCGAGTCGCCTATGAGGTACTGCTCGCTCTCGCCCTCTGCCAGGTCAGCGGGTGCGGGGGAAGAAAGGCGGGGCAAGGGGAGGTGAGGTGTGGGGCACCGGGCGGCGGAGAAAGGCGGGGGTGAAAGGGCGGCGGCAAGGGCGGCGGCGAGGGATCCACGGCCCTTCGGCGGCGGCACGCGGCTCCGGGGGAGCGAGCGGCGGCGGCGGCGAGGCTGCGGGCGCGGCAGGGCGGCGGGCGCGAACCACGCACGCTGGCACACGCGCGTGTGCCTGCACACCTGGCGGTCGGCCGCCGCGGCGCCCTCCCCGCAGCACCCACGAGCTCACCTGTCCCCACCAGCGTGATGACAGCTGGCGCGGGGCTTCCCGCCCCGCGCACATCGCCCGTCATGATTACTACTTGGTAGAGCGCTTGGTGCGGCGCCTCGGCCGCCGCCACCGCCGCCGCGCCGCTGAGCTGCGCCCTGCTGCAGGCGGCGGCGGCGCCGCCGCCGCCGCGGCGCGCCCACCCTGGCTGTGGCGGGGAGTAAGAGGTGCTGGCCGCGGCTTCGACCAGGGAGGAGAGGCTAGCGGGGCGTGCGCTGCTGGTGACTCCCTGCTGCAGGCCGGTGACGCCCTGAACACATGCCGTCAGCGCCCGGCGCAGGCCGGAGACCCGTGCCATGCGCCGCCAGAACCAGGCCTATCCCTGAGCGCCGGACCACAACCCTCCCCCACTTCCAACAAGGGCAATTGCGGCGGGCAGCGGGAGGGTCTTGCAGGGGGGAATATGGGCCCTGTGGATGCGTGGGAGTTCAGATCTGAGGCTGGCAGGCGGCGGGGAGCCCAATTCCAGCTCCCCGCAGTTTTCCTCCAGCCACCTGCGGCGGGCTGTGAGGCGGCCTGATTCCGGCGCCCAGTGCGCCCCATTCTGAATCCATCGCCCCCAGCATTGCGCTGGGATCGATCACAGCAGCAAGGACCCCACCGCTTCGCTCACCCTCGATTCGAGCGGCACTTGGGCCTCCCGAAAAGGCAGCCTGCGGCGGCTGGTGCCTCTGCCGTCCTCCCAGCCGCCAGCAGCAATCATCGCCAGTGCGGCGCCGCTTTGAGCAATGGCCGGCAGCAGCGGCACCGGCGGCAGCAGCGGCACCAGCAGCGGCACCGGCAGCGGCACCAGCAGCCGCGCGCCATCTGCCGCCGCCGGGCGAGCGCCCTCGCCCTTTGCCAAGCCGCAGACGCGGATACCCGGCCCGCCTCGCCCCGGCGACGCCGACGCGCCAGAGCAGCCTCGGCACGGCGGCCCGCCGCCGCCGCTGCGCGGTCGCCGCCGCGTGGCGGCACAAGACGGCTTCCGCCCGCCAGACGCGCAACTGGACCCACAGGCGGCCCTGCTGCTGGGCAGCCCCCACGATAGTGGCGCCATGGGCGGCGGCGGCGGCGGCAGCGGCACCCCGGCGCTGGGCTCCCCACGCGAGCAGCCCGCCGCCAGCTGGCACAGCTGCCTGACCCGCGAGCCGCTGCTGCTCTTCACGCTCCTCGGCGTGGCGGCCGGCATCCTGCTGGGCGTCGCCCTCAGGCCCGCACACCTCAGCCCCCAGGCAAGCGAGGCGCAGGCGCGTTTCTAGGCGGTTTGGCAGGCGGCTGTGCTTGCCACGCCTGCCTTGCCGGCACCCGTGCTGCGCACACGTGCACACACCCCCGTTGCACACCCAGCGCCTAATTCCTGCCGACGCATACACACGGGGGTACAGATGTACAGATATATAGTATCATTACATGCATGAGTGCATATGCGGGTGCAGGCCATCGCCCTGATCGGCTTCCCAGGCGACCTCATGCTGCGCCTGCTGAAGATGCTGGTGCTGCCGCTCGTCTCGGTCAGCATTGTGTCGGGGGTGTGCAGTCTGCGGCAGGCAGACGGCGGCGGCGGCGGCGGCGGCGGCGGGCAGAGCAGCGTGCGGCGGCTGGCGCGCCTGGCGGCCGTCTATTACATAGGTGGGGGCCGGGGGCGCAGGGGGTGGCTGTTGGGGGTGAAATAATGATATCGGGGGGCAGGCGGGGTGTGGCGCATGCCGGGTGCATGGCGGCCTGCCGCGCAGCGCTGGCCGTGCCGCCCGCCGCTGCCCCTGGTGCTGCTGCCGCTGCGCCCCGCAGCCACCCACCCTCGCCCCGCCCCCTGCCACCCTGTCCCTGCCCTGCCCACCCTGCAGTGACCACGGCAGTGGCGATTGCGGTGGGGATTGCGCTGGTGGTTGCCATGCACCCGGGGCGGGGCGCCCCCTTTGATGCCATCGCATCCGGCGCGGGCGGCTGCCGCAAGGCGCACGCCAAAAAGGTGGCCCAGGAGGCGGCAGGTGTGTGTGTGTGTGTGTGTGTGTGTGTGTGTGTGTGTGTATGTGTGCAGGGCTGGGCCGTGGCGCTGCTGCGGGCGGTGCCGCCGGTGCACCGACTTGCAGCAGCGTAACCGTGCAGCCAAACTGTGCAGTACAGTCGGGAGGAGCCCCCGAGGGTACTGCTGAGGGTACTGCTGGGGGTACTGCTGGGGCCTGAGCTGGCTCGATCGGCGGCCCGGCGCCCACTGGCCTGCTCTGCTGCTTGCCCTGCAGGCGCGCAGGCCCAGCGCAAGAGCACCACCGAAGCGCTGATGGACGTCGCGCGGCAGGTGGGGGCGCCTGCCTGGCCTGGCCTGCCTGCCTGCCTGCCTTCCTGCCTGCCTGGCCTCCCTGCCTGCCTGCCTGGCCTGCCTGCCTGGCCTGCCTGCCTGCCTGCCTGCCTGCCTGCCTGCCTGCCTGCCTGCCTGCCTGCCTGCCTGCCTGCCTGGCCTGGCCTGCCTGCCGTGGGCCCCGCCAACCACATGGCAGAGCCCCAGCCTCACCGGCGCTCCTGGCGCCGGAGGGCGGCACCCTCGCTGCCCACCTGGCATGCCCCTCTCGCCTACCTGGCGCTCCTCCACCCGCCGCCCCACCTGAGCCCATTTATTTCCATTTTCACAGCACAGCAGAACATCAATTCAATGCTTGGTGCGCAGGTGGTGCCCGAGAATG